AAGTTAATATTTCCAAAAGAAGTAATAACAAACCTTTTCAGTTCTGCTAATCCTACTACAAATCGAAGATATGAACTAGGTTAAAAGCCTCTATTTTCCCTCACCTACAATACAGAACTCTAGATAGTTGAGCAAGAGAAAGAAAACATGATCTGGAATAGAGGAGAAACCATCGGGAGAGGAGGGTTTGGCCTTGTGTCGATAGCTAACGTACAACAACAGAGTGGCGATCAATTTCCACACGTTATCGCTGTCAAAACTGCAAAAATTTCTGCATCGGATTCGCTCGTTAAAGAGAAGAAGTTACTTGATGTATTCAATGGCTGTCCCTCTATCCTTCATTGTTTTGGGGACGATGTTACCACGGAAGAAGGCGAGGAACTATACAACATAATGCTCGAATATGCGGCCGGAGGATGTCTAGCAGATCGGACTATGGGTAAAGGCTTGCCGGAGAAGATTGTGAGACAGCACACAAAATCCGTGCTTATTGCCTTGAGCCATGTTCATAAGCTTGGATATGTTCATTGTGATATAAAGCCACACAATGTATTGCTCGTAGCTGATTCTTTACGTTCAAGAAAGAAGGGGATCGGGGAAATCGCTAAGTTGGCAGACTTTGGGAGTGCAAAGACCATCAAAGATGCCGAAGATAACAAGGAATTCAGGGGTACTGTTTTATACGCGGCGCCAGAGTCCATTGGCAGACTTTGGGAGTGCAAAGAAGATCAAAGATGACGAAGATAACAAGGAATTCAGGGGTACTGTTTTATACGCGGCGCCAGAGTCCATTATCCATCAAGAATATCAGCCGGAGTCGGATATTTGGGCATTAGGGTGCACCGTGTTGCATATGATTACAGGAAAATCACCGTGGGAAGTCAAGAAAGAAGACAAGGCAGAGGATGTTTTATTCCAGATTGGTTGCAGTGAAGAATTGCCCAAGATTCCGAGTAAGGCTTCCAAAGAAACCAAGGATTTTCTGAAAAAATGCTTGATCAAGAATCCCAAGGCGAGATGGACGGCTGATATGCTATTATCTCACCCTTTTGTACGTGACTTCCATCAACAACATTCGCATCACTTTTCCAAGTTATTTCACGGTTGTTTGTCAATGCAGCATTTACACAACCGTGTCCATGTAAATTGAGTTCAGGATTAGTTTTGAAATACTAAGTACACGAGGTTGTATAGATTTAGGAAACAACTCAAATTTTCCTGAGCCTCATTATTTGCAAAAAAAGATTCAATAAAACATTTTATTATTTTTATCATGAACTACCCGAGTTTTAATTTATAGCTCGAATCGTGGTTTAGTGTGGACTGTTCTATTTTGTTACTTTTTGAGCTTGTGCTGACCGGTATAATCTTAATTCTGTGTTTTTCGTTACTTAGAGATTGTTGTAACTTGTACGTAGTGTTGAGTTATTATTTTCCAATGTATCATATCACTTAAGAAGTATTCATATAGATGATGTAACATTTTATCGAATCGAAAATTAAAATATTTGGCTTTGAAGATTCTGCACGGTCAATAATTAGGCCATGTTTGAGCCCATCATATGTGAAAATAAGTTTTGTAATATTGATTCTGGAGAGCGTGGTAAAAAATACATTACATCAAAGGACATGTTCTCTATACTAGTGTAAAACTTCATTATTGCAAACGAGCAGAGAATTCTACATTCAAACTACGTCTCTTCCAGTTTCCGCAGGAGCCGAGAGCAATGACAACATAGGACAGTAACTTACACGCTTTATGTACAATAGCCAAGAGATCAAAATCGGCTTAACTTAATGCTGACTATAATGAGTTGTGTTCTGTTAAAAATATTACATAATTTTTCAATTTCTCCACTGAAATCGAGTTCCTTCTATTCAGTTCTATGAAGTAGTATGTAACCAGAGAATGAAAAGGCATGGATGAGCAACAAGTCAGAGACAAAATTTCCTACATTTACTCCAGTGGAGACACTTGCGTTGGGATGCTGACATTGAAGCGAACAAAATTTCCTACATCCCCAAATGAATAAGAGTTTCTCGCTTTGATCCGTGCTTAAGCAACATTAGGGGTGGGTGTGTGTTGGGGGTGGGGGAATGCATTAAAAGTAGGAAAATGATGATTATAAACCATTCTATTCACCATGATGTATAAACCCCTCACATTTGACAAGGCCTACTTGAATAAAAAATTTGTGAGCCTCCTCTACGTGAGGAGAGTGTACAAAATGTTGTACAGCAGTACAAGCATGGTGTACATGTAAGAAAGTTCGTAAAAGTATTGTCCTGATCAAAATAAATTAGTTTCAAAAAAGAGAACAATTAACAGAAGTAAACAAATAATTTAACCACGGTAAAAACAACCGACGCCAGAAACATGTCGAGACGAAAAATGTGGCCGGGTTTGTGTGGCTTTCATGAGATAGGCATTAGAATTGTGCAGGGGGTGGGAAGGGAAAGTGTAAAGGGGCTAAGCGTCAGCATCAAAGATTATACGAGTAATTGTGCTACAAATGGTGGGATACAGCTTAAAAGATAATCAAGATTGTCATCAGGACACGCGCCCCTTTCCCTTTAAGTTAACCATCTTAGCGTTTCCTTTTTACCCACAATAAAATTATGCTCATATTAAAATTTTAATTCTTATACTTCTATTCATTTTCAATTACATATTTTTCAATAAAATAATATTTTCTATCACATCAATAATTTTTCGTTCTTTTTCAACCATATATTTTCCATCAATCTATTATTCCAAAATACATTCTTCCAAAATAATGTGGCTCAAACACACAATTCATTTTTCTCTCTTCTTATCAACAATACATTCTCCAATGAAATATTATTATAGGTTAACTGAAAATTTTCTTCTTTTTTAAACACATTTTCTTCAAAAAAACAAAACACTATTCTAAAAACTATAATCGCAAATAATGGAGGTCTTGGGCTTAGTAGCATTACTAATTTTAATTTACTAATTTTGTACCAATTTACGTAGCAGTTCTCATAAAGTTGTACTAGGTCTTCGTACAAGATCAAATTTTATAATAATTTTGGGATTTATGTTTCATTTTACTCAGTAATAATTCTAATTTGAATTTTTCACATCCGATAAAGACACCATTCTCAACAAGTACAACTCATTGGACGTGAAAATATGTAAGCATTAGGGGTGAAAGTGGTTCAGTTTGGACGGTTTGCGCCATATTTTCAACTCAAATCATTTCACACGATTTGAAATTTTTTCAAGCCAAAGCAAACCATTTTATTTTTCGAACCAAACCAAACCAAACCAAACCAAATCATAAACCATGGGCGGACCCAAGGGGGACCTGCCCCCAACTTTTGAGATTCAATTTTTTTTTCTTTTTTTAAATCACGTTTGTTATCGATTGAAATTTAAATTTTAATCTAAATCAAAGTTAACAATTAATTTTAATAACATATTTTCATGAAATTCATAACTATTTAATTTGTACCCAAATTTATTAAAAATTTAATTTTAATCTCCACCAAACAGGAGTAAAATAAAAATAAATTTGAATTTCGAAATATACAAATTTTAAAAATTCTCCGATGATCGTACGCTAATCGAATCTACAAATTATTTGTATCATTTCGAAACTTATTTCAAGAATTATATTATGGACATATCGAATAGTTCAAACATATATCGAAAACAGTTAAAAATATATTAAACGTGAACCTTTGAAAANCCCCCCCCCCAAAGTTAAAGTTTTGCGTCCGCCCCTATCATAAACTGCGGGTTGGTTCGGTTTTAATCCGCGGTTTACCTATCGACATTATAATAATATATTTAAAATAAGTTAACATATATTTAAACGAGAACTAATAATGTTAAATTACATTCATCTTTCCCACAAAATCCATGAATAAATTATGAATAAAGCTGCAAGTACAGGGAATTTCAACAGAAAAAACAGGGTGCTAACGTGGCAGCACCCTGTTGGCCCCTTTTTTTTCGTTCCAATGCAAATACCCCCAAGTGTTTTTCTTGTCAAAATTCTATTGAAATTCTCTGTACTTGCAGCATTGTTCATAAATTATTTTCAAAGTCGGATGCTAAAAGATGTTAATAGAACAAATATATTTTTCTTCCTTTTCATGTACCTTTTCTTGTTTGCCTTCTTTTATATTGTCATGTAGTGATTGGTAAAGATAGAGTCAAACTCTACTGTAATAGTTTGGTTAAAACTCATTTCGTCCTATAAGTGAATTAAAAAATAAGGATTGAACATGATATATTTAAATATACAAAGAATGATAGAGTTCGGGTTTATTGAAAATTGACAAATTTTATTCTCTAACGATTTTAAGAAAGTAGAATGTAGTAGTGCTAGTTAGGGAACTTTAACATTTTCAGGCAATCAATACGCTCTATCTTTTGTTCTTTCTAAACCACAAACAAATTCATTAATCACTTAGGCACACAAACAATCTTTTTTTATCCAAATCACAACTCACAAGTGTATAATAAGTTCAAAAACGACAAATAAAAGAAAGAACAATGAAAAAATAGCTTGAATGAGAATTTAAGACTTATCAAGATAGAAGAGAGAAATATGTGATTCAGGTAGAAATTAGTAGTCTAACAAGCAAAAGGCGGCCAGCGATTTGCGATTGGGAATCGTATTTTGTTCAGCAGCGGTAGACATGTATCAAATGTTTGAGAAATGAGAGTTTGGGTTATGGTTTCTGAATGTGTGAGTGTGATTTGCTGTCATAGTTTTGTTAAATTATGATTTGGATTATCGAAAATAAATGCTTTTTTTCATATGATTTGTGATTAATTTCAGTTTAGATTAAATAACGGGTAAGGACGTGTATTGTGGACTTATAAAATTATCGACCAATAGTGATGAACTTAATTTACTTTTTATGATTATTTCAATGGGTTGGTTGTAATTTATATTGCTAAATTGATATTTTTTTCTAAAAAGTGAAAATTTTAAAATTTGTAAGTCAATAAAATTAATTTTTTAATTCGTATTGCTAATTGGTATATTTTTTTTAAAAAAGTGAAAACTTTAAAACTTGTAAGTTAATAAAATTAATTTTTTTAATTAAAAAAGGATTCGGTTTTATGCAGTTTTTGAAAATTGAAATTTAAACCAAACCATTTTGAAACGGTTTGATTCAATTTGAGGGGAAATAAATCACGGATCCAAGTGGAACCAAACCAACGGTTTAAAAATAAAGATTTCGGTTCAATTTGAAGTTTCATGGTTTTTTTGTACAACCCTAGTAAGCATATTGATCCAAGTAGGGTTTGACAAAACACCCGAACCGAATCGGACCTGAACCTAACCAAGTGATTCTTCATCAAAACACTTAATGGGTATTTGAATCGAGAACCGACGAATTTGGTTTGATTCTCGTTTCTAGACTAAGAACTGAATAATCGAATAAGAATTGAATCCCATAAATTTTTTAATTTTTTGTTATCATAAATACGTCAAATTATTATTTTTTAAATAAATTTGTTACTAATTAATTTAGTCCAAACCCAAAATATGACTAATTTTCAGTCAAGATCAACTTAATCAAATTGATCTAAATTTTACTCGAATCTCTTATTCTACTTTAGTGTCGTTTCTTCTGTTTTATTATTGTGAACTCACATCTTCAGTTTCTTCTAATTTTAACAGTCAAATATATGAAGAACTGGAGAAAGATATCAAGACATTGAACTACGTTATTTTGTAAGAGTTAAAATT